GTGTTCATGGATTGCTTTAATGCTGGGATGATTAGCACAATCCTCACCGTAATCCTCTACTCGTATTTCAGGCAGGCTATCAGCAATGTGAACAAAGTAGTCATTAAGCAGATTGGCAATTTCCTTTTTGTCACTAATAATCCTGTTATTTTCTTTCAAGATAGTGTCATTGGCTTGCTTACTTTTAGTATGCAAAAAGGGGCGGAAAGTAGACCAGAATTCGAGCGGTTGTTCGAGCGAAATACAATCTTGGAGGCAAACTTGGAAAAAACGGCAAGTTCTGTAGATCACATTTGCTGTTGCCGTTGCGCTGAATGGGTTTGACGTTCTGGTTGGCAGAATACCAAAAACATTCCAAATAGAAGAAGTTTGTGATAATAAGAATATTGCTGAATTAAGAGAAAATAATAGATAGCAATGTAATGACGCTTCAAAAAAAGCTCACCGTTGCCTTAAATGAAGAGGAATCCAATCTTCATGAGGGTAGATCTGCTGCCAAGGATAGTCCAAATTGATCTCCTATTCTTAATTCTGACTCTCTTTGGATTTCTCCCTCTCTTGATCCCCTTTTTTCTAAGGGTGATATAGTGAGAGTATGGAGTTTGTTACTGATTAGTTTTCGGCGGATTCCCCAGCGGATTTCGCTGACAAATCTCCTACAGTTCTCAATGTTGGTGGAGAAGCTGATTCTCTCTCTCCTGTTGGTCAGGTTAGGTTGCAATATGAGGCGTGTGACCTGTGTGGCAAAGCCAAGGGTTAGCGTGGCGGCGGTGGTGTTCACCAGTCTCCTCTTCTGAAGCCATTGTCAGGAAGGCATACTAGTTAAACGTGGTGGTCTAGTGAGCAATGGCTGCGTAATCTCTCTAGTGAGAGAGACACACGTTACTGATGTGACCGAGGCTAGTTCTTAGTTCTCAGCGTTGGGTCTGTTGACAGTAATTAGCTCATGGTACCGTTCACTCTTGCAGCCATTCACCATTTTCTCTTTTCAACTATTGTCAAGTCTTAAGCCGGCTTCGCTGTGTTTGCTTTTTTCAAAGATGAACTCGAAGCAAGAATATCGCCCAAAGCTTTCTTTTTACTACCAATAGGATAACTAAATATTATTCAGAACGTTTTCTTTCTAGTCGCGGTTAGGAAATGTCCTAAGTTCTGTACTAGGTCACTGAGAACGATTAACAGGACATGACATTTCTTTTGTCTACGGCTACTGCGGAATCTTACTATTTTAAGAGGGTGCAGCAAAAAACTTATATGAGGTCGCACTTTTCTATGAGAAGATGGTGTGCCGTGAAACTTTGTCTTCAAAACAGCTTCTGTAAAGTGCTTTTTGTTGGTAGGTTTCCGTTTTGTCCATGTTAAAATTCTTGCTAAAAAAACGCGAATCACCTTATATACAATCTTGGAAAAAACTGTGAGAATTAAATTGCATTCTTGGGGGGGCATTTTTTCTAAACTTCGTAGCCGACCGATTCTTCCCTCCCCCTCCCCCCTCCCCCTGGAAGCAGTGTTGTTGGGTCTTCAAAAGAGCATTTGTAGGAAGCAACTTTGAACTGGGGGAGGGGGGTTTCTTTACGCAAAGCCGTTGATTTGGAAATAGTTTTGTTGCGTTACGTCTTTGAGAAAATGTTTTCATTAATGCACACTAGTTTTGTCCAGGATTGTAGCAGTAAACAAGTTTCAAGATGCTGCAGAAATTTTCCACATGAACTTACCTGTCAAATTTTGACCAATCTGAGACACAAATGGGCTGTTGAACGTGACCGAGACGTGTTAATGCTAAACAAAGTTAAATCCCAAGTCCAGCCGCTGGCTCAAAAGCACAGAACTTATTTATGTGCTGTTTCCGTTAAAATTAATAACGTTGAGACTGCGATCTGTTGAAAACTAAAAACTTGTCAGCGGAAGACTTCAAAAAAGTAAGTCACTTCAATGGGCCAAAACTCTGGCCTAGAACTTATTTATGTGCTGTTTCCGTTAAAATTAATAACGTTGAGACTGCGATCTGTTGAAAACTAAAAACTTGTCAGCGGAAGACTTCAAAAAAGTAAGTCACTTCAATGGGCCAAAACTCTGGCCCATTGATAATGTCATACGGAACTGGTGAGCAGATACCCTGCTTTGACACTTGATCATAACATGAATGTGCAATATCATCCCACACTAGCATACAACCAACATTTCTTGAATGGATAGAATCAAATTTTCTTCGAACACTGAAACCGAATGCAAGGCTGGCAATACGGCGAAGGGCTGATTTATTTCAAGCCAATATGTCGGCTAACAAAATTAGCCTTCCTACAGGGCCAGAGCTACACTGAAAGGGAATACTAAAACGGCTCCTGAAATTTGAATTTAGATTTACATGAGAGGTTAATGATAAACTAAAAATGAAAACAATCGATAACATGATAGATAGGTAAGTAAGTAAGTATACAATAAAGTGATTGAAAAATTTAGGGGCCGTTACAGTAATCCCTTTAGTGTAGCTCTGGCCCTGAGGAAGGCTAATTTTGTTAGCCGAAATATTGGCCTCAAATAAATCGGCCCTGTGTCGTATTGCCAGCCTTGCATTCAGCTTTGTTCTAATTCGCACCTCAAGTGACACCTGGCATTGGCATCTCTACATTAGAGATCCGAAAGTACCAGTCGGTACAAACTCCTCCCTCCGACGTGCTGACCCCTGAATCCCTTCTCTCTCCCCCAGAGTCTGTACGGAGAGTCTTTCGGGGGTACGCTGACGTCAGAACCAAGTTTTCTCGGATCCACAGGTTTCCGTATTTCTATAGCTATGGGGCTACGCTCACGCGCTTCGCGCGCCTGGAGAACTCCGTTCTAAA